CGTTAGCATGCGTCTAGAGTAATAACCCTTGAATGCATATGATTATGTCCTCCGTCAAATTTCGTCATGTTCCAACTCTTCCTGCTCTCTTCATAATTAGAATTTTTTGTCGGAGATAAAATAATGTTGGAAAGTAATCCTAATCTTGCCAATTAGAGAGAGAAAGAAAGAGAAAATACGTACACAATCCACCGCATAATAAATTTATCAGGCGCAATTGAACAGTTTAGATTTTAATGATTTATGACGAAAACGATGGATACGCCCAAAGCTCACGCAACTTTACATCCTCCATTGATATAGATTCAGAAATTATTTCTGACCTTTTGCCGATGAACAGATGTTATGACGGACTTTCTTTCTCGAGTGTGCAATAAAATGTTTTAATTTAGGATTCAAAACCTCCTCACGGACTTAGAAGCACGTGGCATGTATTTCGGCTGAAAGTCCAGCCTCAGTCATAAATGTTTCACCTTCGCGAACTGCACCAATCGGTCAGTTGGATGTCATTTTGCAGTTAGGAACTTCAATTTCTGGCTCGGTTTAGAAACAATGTACGTATAAATACATGCGCATAAGTGTTTTTACCGATGAGCAAGAAATTAGCGCAGCAGTGTAGTCGTTCAATGGCATCAGACCCCTTTGAGGTGTAAAAGAGCGATTTGGTCTCCCCGCTAGATGTTTTTGACCACGTAAATGGATACCAAACGTGAAAAAGAAAGTAGGTATTTAGGCTGAGATACGAGTACTCCAAAACACTGTGTAACTTTCGACTTTTATCGAAAAATGTGATTCGATGTTTTAAAAAAAAACCTAGGTAGGTACCTAGCTCAGAGGAAAATTACAAGAGGTTTGTCTCTCATGTCCGAATACGCAGAATCAACGGAAATTTCCGGTGAGTCGAAAATAATTGATGAGACCGCACACCGTCTCAGGTTATTACTTTTTATGTATCGTTTATTGAGCCTCATTTAAATAAAAATGTGTCTGCGATTCTTCCATAAATACCGCCACTCATTTTTATCCAAAGTTGTCGTTCTCAGTAAAGTTCCAGCATACATCCGCAACCCTCTCTCCCCACTCACAAGAACACTGGTACCGTTGTCACTGTATTGCCAAACTACATTTTAAAGTCTCATTGTGAAGCTTTTGGAGGCTTAAAAAAATGAACCGCAAGACAATGGCGAATTCGCAAGTGTTTTTCTTCCGTTCAAATCCATAAAAAATATCGATGTCAGACGAGGCGAGCTACCTCGCAAAGAATCGATTGTCCTACATGCATTTATGGAGAAAAAACAGTATTGTTAACTTTCATGAATCGCTACTACCATGAGACAGGGTAAGGAATTCAATGTTTCATGATGTCATGATGTCACGCAAAATACGTGAGATTTATTAAAAACTACCAGAAATAACCCGTAAAGGAGACATACGCGTTCGTAATTTAAATTATAAACAGTAAATTCACACTTAGAAAAAATAGCGTGTCATCCTTCAAAAATGAAATTAACAGAGAGTCGCGATTTTTCCTCATCGCGCATACATTTACCTAAACTATTTTCAGGAAATGTGCATATCATGCAGTAGTTTTTACAAATTTGAAATATCTATAGTTAAACAAACTCGTGAGAAATAAAAGAGAAAATCTACAACAAGCAAAATCTTTTTCCCGAAGGAAAAAAACTTGGTTCCTTTTCTGCCAAACTCGATTGAATTCTTACTTTAAATTAGAAACCCAGAATATTGTCCCTCGAGTCCGGTTGATGAAGAGGCGACCGAACGACACTGGAATGAAACGAAAAACATAAAATCGCACGAGCGTTTTCGAGGGTAATAAAATGGAGACAGTTTTGGTGTTGCAAAAATGAAATTGGACAAAAACCACATACTGATTGTAAATGCAGAAAAGCTATCAGATCGCCGTTTCGTCGAAAATGTATACTACCTCCGTTGCTCTTATCTGAGTAATTTTACTGTCGACTTATTTTTTGGGCTTGCCCTTTTTGAGCTTGTCATGGGACGCCGGTTTGATGCCCTGAGTACTTAGCGAATTTTTAACAATTCCACCACTCATGCAACGTTAATACCCTCGCCTGAGAATGTGGTCCTTTTCTTTTCCGGCGATATCGTTCTTTAATTGGCCGCCGCTGCTCAAACGCCATCATGCGTTGCATTTTTCTCGTAATATCCTTTTGCTTTGGCGTAAATCAACACAGAGTTGGCGCACAGTGGATCGAGTCAATGGGAGAGGTCGGGCATGATTTAAAAACTTAAAAAGACTGTATCTTTATTAATATGATGAAATGTACCTAGACCATTTAAAAGTAGATTCATTGGTTTGCTCGTATAATTTTCTATAAAAAGCACACCTTAAAATTAAAATTATGACGAGATAAACGTAATTTGGTTACAAATTTCGTCAAAAATTTCATGTCTGGCTTCTCCCAAAGACTCGTTCCAATAAGCGGCGTTATTGGTGCGGTTAATCTACATTTTTTGTCAAATTGCTACGTTAGAAAGCCATATGGAGTGTGAAAAAAGTTCCCCCACACCTCTAAACTTTTGAACTAAAAGAAAGAGAAATGAAACTTTAATAATGTCTCTGCTCTTAAAAAAACTCTCTATTGTGGTGGTGAACATTTTTGAGTCTACCCTCGGAGAGGGCAAGAGGTCCAAAAAAATTTTTTCCAATCGTAGCCGCATATTGTGAGTGTTGGAATAAGTATATAAAACAAACGTTTGGCTCAAAATTGCACGTCTCTCGGTCATTGGTGAATTGGTGGAGACCTCCGGTTTGCGTTGAAACGTTTATTTTTCAATTATTTTTTTAATGATTTACCACTCAATATCCGTAATATTGGTTTTTAAAGTACAATTTACATGAACGAATGTACTGGACACATTTTGCGATAAACGACGTGACACAAGTTCTCAATGAGCTGAGTTTACAATGGTTTTTACAAATTTTACTGACATAGGAAATTGGAGGAAATTTTGATAACTGAGAAACTCTGTAATGTCACAGAGATCCTTTAAACACGTGCTTTTTTTTACAAATCGGATTGTTCTGTTCTAACTTCTATTATCAATCACTACAGGAATCAATGAGCTTATCAGAAGCTTCGGCTTACGAATAAAATCCATTCAATTTTCGTCATCTGTAATTTTTCTGTTTCAGAGTGAATAATTAGACCGACTGTGGAGCCTGGAAATGTTACGTGATGGATTTTGTTTCAGAAAATGACGAGTAAGCAGGAGCATTTACCTGTACTGCCAAGGTTTCCCCCGCCAGTTCTAAGGTTTCTTCCGAATTTACGATCAATTCAAAAAAGTAATCCGTCAACATGTAAGCTCTTGACACCACATCGGTCCTCACTTTTTTCGGCCTCGGCCGATGAAGTTATTTGGGCAACGATAAAATATAATTTTCTATCCAAAATTATGTGGGTATTTTGTATGACAATCGCTGAGACGTGAGTCAAAATGCAGATACAATTATCCGGCCTTTATTTTTCCCAATGGACAAATCCTGTCCATCATTTTTAAATTGTCCAATATCAATAACTAACCTTGAGGGGATTTTATATTCGAAGCAAACAAACATCGATTTATCGGACGATTTTTGTTTCAACGTTAGGATGAAACGAAGAGAAACAGTGGAGAAAGCACATTTTAGTGTTATTCCGAGAATTTACAAGCGGAATAGCTTAATGTAACTGGACGTAGAATGTACTGTTGGATGTGACTAAGCTAACTCAACGTTGATGATTATGTTACATTGGGCTTGGACTTGGTTTTTATTTGAGAAAATTCAAGTGCCAAAATGTGCTTCTACCCTATTTTTTCCATTTTTGGCCAAAAATCGCACTCGCACTTAAACGAAACATATTCGATACATCGATTTTTGTCACTTTTGGTATAGAATTACTGTAAATCTAATTTATAAGAGATTGAATGAGTCGTGCTCGACTAAAAAAACAATTCTCATCAATTTGGAGCCTAAAACCGAGGTTTGAAGTTATTCCTCCAAAGGGCTTAATGTTAAATATTTATTTAATGCCTTAACGGGAGAAAATATGCCTTTTCTTGCTTTTAAAATGAATAATCTAATTCTTTAATGTATAATTCTTTTTTCTAAAATGAACGCTGATTCTCTTTGCTTGTTGCGGCTTCAATACGCTTAACTTCACATCCTCCTCCTGCTAGAACGGAAAATTTGCTCAAATTGGTAAAAGCAACTATAACTGCTTTAAAGACGCTCAACTTGCCAATCAAATATTTGAAGGCGCACTGGTTTGAGAAAGCGTAAAGCATTCAGAGCCAGATTTGCAATAAGGCCATAATCTGAGGGCGCCACACTCTGGTGCGGGCAAAATTTTTGAGACCACACTGTATCAAAAAATTATTCTTCGTGTCTTCCATAACTTATTATTTACAAGTTTTTTCCGGAATCTATGTTTTCGCAATTATTTCAACAACTTTTAAAATCATGATTTTAGAGGTGGATTTGAAACATTTCCCCCGGTGTCTTTCAAACCTATGATCCTCCTTTTCTGGGGGAGGTGTGGGACTCCCCCCTCCCCCCCCCCCCCCCCCGAATGCCTTCCTTTAAAGCGTCACAGCAGTTTAGCCTACGGTGCTAAAAATATAAATCCGGCCACGGTAGTTCACTTCCAATTGGACGTATTTCTGCCAAACGGAACCATGTGCATTAAGACATGAGCCCTGAGACCCATAAGAACATATGCATAACAAGGCTCACGTCATTATGCACATATAGTTTCGTTTGACAGAAATACGTCCAATTACCTCATAGTCGCATCCACAGTGGAGTCTGATCTGACTCGATCTACGAGCGAAGTATTGACTCGACTTGTCTTTAATGTGTAAACAGCACATTATCAGTGCAGATTTTTCTGACTTTTCCGAAAACAATGAACAAAAGCGCAAAAAAAGAAAGCGTTAGATTAAAGCGTGCAAGTCCAAGCTATGCAATTTACCTGCGTCAAAGGTTCCTCCAACTCGTCGAAATTCGATGCGAGGTGTGTCATGACGTCACCGATTTAAATCGACACCGACACCCATGACGCGGTACCCACTGTTGTCTCGCCTCAACGACTAGGGATCCGGGTTCGAGTCCCGCCCTTCACTGACGATGGTGTCTTCCGGGCGATCTGGAGTCGGGATGTTATCGAGTGGACGTAAACTCGCCGTTTATCGATTTTCATTTGGTCCCAACGCGAAAAATCTGTGCAAAAATGAGAGCAATTAGTTCGTAAGTATTCGAACTCCTTTTAGATTTAGCCCACCTTTTGCGATTAGGAACTACGATTTCTAGCTCATTACAGGTACACCATATTTGTATTAGTCCCTCAATGTATATATGTGGTTTTATGTATGAACAAGAAATTTTCACAGTTCCGAATGGCAAAATGAAGTCCATTTATCCAAAAGAAAATTGGAGGAAATTAAACAGAATTAGCCTAACTTCGTTAGACGTTGTCTAATCTCTTCTCACTTTTTATTTATGAAAAAAAGTGACACCATAGAAAATACGCCATAAGTCTAGAAACTCTTCTTTTTGATGCTCTCTAAATTTCTCAGGCAACTGCCATTGGTGTAAATCTACTCTGAGAGAAATTTTAAATTTTGAAGTGACTTTTCCAAAGAATTGAGTATTACAAAACGGTGATTTCTCATTACAAAACAGCATCTAAACTACGTATTAAACGAAAGTAATTTTTCCAGATTCGAAATTGCAGTGCATTGAGGCCCTCTTGGTTTTCAGCAGGTTTTGAGATCACTCGCTGCGAATTGCTTTTAGTCCAATTCTGACGTACTAGAGAAGAACACCATACGTTGCCACCAAGCTTTGCCAAAGTTCCTCTAATTTAAAATGGCATCTCTAAAAAAAAAACTTTCGATTTTGTTTTTTTTTATTACTACACACTTTAGAGAACTCTCTTTGAAATCTGATCTGAAGCATGTGAAAATTTAATGGAGAATATTCATAAAGATTCCCAAAAATAAATACTCTCTTAGAGAACATTTGAACGTATTTCTATGAAAGGAACTATGCGCATTAAGACATGAGCCCTGAGACCCATGAGAATATATGCATTACAGGGCTCACGTCACAATGCACGTAGTTCCGTTTGATAAAAATACATCCATTTGGCAACATTCGAATGTCCATTCAGCGCTCTTTCTCAGCACGCTAGAATTGCGTGTCAAAATATCTTTGAGCATTATTATGGTCCTTCGAATGATCAAGAATGGAACGCTCTAGAACGCAAACTTACCCCCCAGGAGCCACAATTCCGCATGAACCAAGCCCCAAAAGGAAAAGCACTTATTTAAAGGAGACAAGAAAGCATAAAATATGATATCATTTACGACCCAAGCGCACGTTGATTTTATTCTTTTCGTTCGGACGCTCCGGTAGCATCAAATCATGCGATGAGTACTTCGATTCTTTCCAATTTTCAGGATATACTTCAAAGGAATGGTCCAATGTAGCTAACCTGTGTAAGAATTATTGTACACACATACATAGAAGTCGCTTTTACAGCGCGCCCGGGCGCTCTGCGACACTTGATCGCCATTCTTGTCTATCGACCCAGAGGTCATCTGGTAAATGGCATCTTGTAATTTCATCTTGAATACCACCTATCTACGATTTTGCTGGATGTCCCCTACGTCTCTTCCCAGGAGGAACCCAATCTAGTACCTTCTCTGGCAATCTGTCATCCGCCATTCGTTGAACATGACCATACCAGACAAACTGTTTGGTCATAATTTCATGCACGATGTTCTGCCTAGCGTTCATGATTTCACGCTCTCTTTCGTTCATAACGTAACCCCTTCTCGAGGATCCGGCTGATCTTCGCCAGAAATCCATCTCAGTTGCCTTAAGAATCTTTTGCGTACGATCTTTCATGGGTCATACTTTCAGAATGCTTTTAATTATGGTGTTATAGATCAATATCTTTTTTTTTTTTTTGGAGATATTCTGATCCTAAAGAATCCTATTCAATATAGCAATCGCTTTACTCCCTATTTAGCTAATTATTGTTATTTGGGTAATGAGAGTACCTGATCCACGAATAATCATGAGGCTATTTTTGTGACAACGGAAATGCTCTCACTAAAATCGTGGGGGATACATTTAAACGTCGGTAAATCCGTTNGGGGGGGGGGGGGGGGGGGGGGGTCGAATTCTATTGGTCGAGAATTTTGGGCGTGTAAAGCATCTGACTTTGCAGAAACAACGAATTGTGCGAGGTTCACATCGAAACACATCGGAAAATGACATATAAATCTTTGAAATCTAAAAATGACACATAAAAAAGGGAAAAATAAATCATGGAGGACTGACTCAAAGGGAGATATTATTTGATGTTATTGAACCAAATTGTATGCAGATTGTAGAAGGTTCACAGTAAAAATTAAATTAGCAACCAGATATCACTGAAGCTGCAATTTTACTGTTAAAATTTACAGTTTTTTTGGCTCGGTGCAGGTTCAACGCAAGAGCGGGAAAAGAGCTGTGCCGGAAGACACTGACGCGAAAAGCAGCTGTCTCCAGGGGCGCAACAGGTAGTTCTTCCCAAAACACCCTCCATTTAAAACTGCAGATCAGAAGCTCAAAAGCAACCGAATTAAAACTGACCTGGATCACTAAAGCACTGCAGATGTGGAGCTTTGAGATACGAAACACTTAAATATGCCTATGCAATCCCGAAATTTTATTAAGTAATTCAGCCGATAACGAAATCGATATAATCGAACCACTCGAATCGAATCATTTCAACCCGATTGTATCGGTTGTCGTATTGTTTTGCACTATGCAATCCCGAAACACTTGTTCGATTACTTTCAACGCGCACGTTAAAGGGATAGAATAACCACTAGGCCGCGAAATTCGCGATTTGGGACGCGTTTTGCCTACCGATCGCGGAGTGAGGGAACAGAGGTTACGACGATTTTCCGACCTGGATCGGGCGAGGTTGGGATGACATCGAGATATTTTGTGCCAGTCAACGAGGAGGTGCAGGGGGTTTTGAGGGTGCGACTCTTATTTTTAATTTTGAGGCTCAACTTTTACCGGGGAGGATGGAATAATTAAGGGACTTACCTCGGGAGTCTCGGATCACCTGGGGTATCTGCGGCGATCGGGCGTTTCCGCGATGCGTCGGGCGTCCTCGGTGGGTATCGACCGGCGGGCGCGAGTAAAGGTCACGCTGAATGCATTCAGCATCCCTGCATCCCTGCATCTCGCTATTTTTAGACCCTAACTCCTCCTCTCCAACCTTGCAGTCCGGGCAGGATCGGGTCTCCAGTGGGGGTGGGGGGGGGAGATTAATCGCCGGGAAAATTATCCAGGGATGCATTCAAGAAGAAAAAAACGAGAGAGGAGAGGAATAAATATATAGAAGCAGAAGAAAGATAAGAGGAAGGGAAATAAGGTAAAGGGAGAAAATGAAAGAGAAAGAAGTTCAAAAAACCAAGTTCAAATTTTTGAAAAAGACAACAAATTTTTGAGTTAGAAAAATTATTGGGGATGCATTAAAAAAAGAGGATAAAAACAAAGAAAAAGAGAGGAGTAGTAGTAGTAGCAGTCTTAGTAGTAGTAAAATATATTTATTTTAAAAAAGGTGCCTTTAAGCAACTACTCCTTAAACGAAATGTTCACCTGTTCCGTGGTATCGTTTTCGAAGCGGGAAGCTTAAAAAAACGCACATCCCTTACGCATATTGTGCAGTTAGGAGTGCATTCTAGAATATGCCGATGCACTCATCGTGATTTTTGACCCCATTTTCTGTGAGAAACAACTCCTAGTCTTGCTCTAGCAGAAGTTTGCAGCAGGCCAATTTCATGCTCAACCAGTTGCTCATCATATTAGGCAAAAAACAGCATTGACCTCCGAACTTGAACGCGTTAACCTCATTCGATCACATTGCTCAGATTGTTAGAGCTGAGCCTCTAAAATATATTGTATTCAAGGTATGCTCATTGAAAAACGGAGGAGTAGAAGAGGCACGTTGAAAAACTGCGTCCAAAACGAAATAAAGCAATGAACATGGAGAAAAATTTGAATACGAGTGATAAAATTTTTAAACGGGCCAAATTTTTTCCTTCCGCCGAACCAGTTTCTCCTCCTCCGCCTTGGGTTAATACATAAGTACGGTATTCTTGAAATAAATTAAAAGACCGGACCAGAAATATCTATCGGGAGCGTTGTTGCGGTGCGGCATGATGCGCGAGGGCCGGAGGGGGGGTTGATCGCCCGGCCAAGTTCGTTACTCCGATCTCGACAAAAACTCATCGAATTTAATTGAATTTTCGGTCGAATAATTCTAGGGCTAACCAGAGTTATGTGACCGGCCACTTTGGTATTTTTCTCAGCTTTGCGCGTATTAATTGATCTGCAGGTACGAATGAGGGCGAGAGAGAGAGAGGTCGGGAGTCGGGGGAGCGAGAGAGAGGGAGGGACGAGGCGTTTGGCCCAGGTGCTGAGGAGTTAGATGAACCTTGCAATGACTGTACCCGTTTGCCCAAATACGGGAGAATAGTCATTGCTCTTCGTCGGAGCTTAATATTCTGGTTCCTATTTCGAAAAATCTGTCCATTTCGACTCGTTTCCTCACACTGCCTCTCTAAAGAAAAATGCCTTATGAGCATCCAACAGCTGCCAAATTTCTTCTTAAAAATTGAATTTTTTTAAGAATGTATATGGATTGCTTTAGACGAAAGGCTGCCGAAGAAGATGCTTAATTGGGTTTCTCCTGGGAGTAGATGAAGAGGACGCCCAGTGTCAGGGTGGCGACAGGGGTTTTAGAAGAAATGAGGGTGTGCCAACTCCGTGAAGGGCTTTGGGCGGATGGGGGACTTTGGCGGCAAGGTGTCGCAGAGCGCCAGAGAGCGCGATAAAAGCAGCTTTATATGTATGTATAGGGATTTTTCTTTGAATGTGTTACAGAATTCTCTACGAAAACCTTCAAGTTTTACGTAGAGTATCCGACTTTTTGAACCACTGCCCTCTCGTAAGAATCCATGAAAAGAACTCCTGATCTCCATTTTTGAATTACCTAAAACTTGCTTGATCCCTCTTCCCCGAATTTTGTAGAAAATATCAGAGAAAGATAGAGACAAACCTAAAAAAAACAATTTGTTTTGAAAAGTATACTTTCTTTTAAAATGGTCCCCCCCCTTTCCTCCCTCGTAAGCCTCCATCAGACAAGCTCAGAGCCAACTATGACCGTTTTCGGGACTAGGATAGGTCGTTAAAATTCGACACAAGTTTATGAGGGAATAGTGCAATGTAGACAACCGACACGACTTTTCACGAACAGATAAATGTCGCTGCACGCATGATATTTTTTAGCATACCTCGGGAAATGACGGCGCAATGTCAAAATTAATGTAAGTTTCCTGACGAGGTATAGGACAATAGACCTGTGTTTCTTGTTTGGTTAATTTTCTTTGGGACCGAATATACTTATATGAAAAGCGTGCTTTTGGCAGGGTGTTAGCCGGTAGGCTCCTTCCAAATCGATGATTCTGTGGACTAAAGGGATTGTTGCATGTTTCATTGGCAACTACTCCCTCAGTTGCGCATTTCAGATGCAGATATATCTAGTGCAGGTGTATCTGATTCCAAAGCTTTTATAAAGAATAGCGCCAAAAGATGTTTAGGTCTGAAGGCATCAAACCCTAGGGCTATGCACAGCGAGAAAAGCCTCATAGTTGTTGCCTACATGCACTCGATACAACTGAATGATGGGCGGCACGGACGTACTATTACAAACGTCCACAGCAATGGACCTTTAAATAATTTAATTTTTATAATTTTCATGCAGTAACACCCTAAAATAACGCACGTTACATACCGTGAAAATTTAAATTTATTTACATGAAAATAAAATGAAGTATTAATAAAAAAATGTGAGATACTAATGCTACATTGCTCTACAATATTACTACACTTATTTAAAAACGTAGTCATTTTTACATTATTCGCATTGTTACTATTACATAATGCATTTTGGGATTCCGCAAAAACTTGGGATGAAAATATGGTCCTAGATTTTGCTTGAAAAACGATGAGATAGAAATGTCACAAAAATTGGCGTTGTTAAAATAGAGGTTGGAAAAATCAGGCAACGCTGCACACGGGCCAAGTACCAAATCACTGATTTCATATTCAGTTCCATAAGCGCCTCCTCCCCTCCCCCTCCCCCTCGCCTGAGGAACAAGCCCTCCTAGCTTTCCTCACATTGCAGATAAGATCGGACTCCTTGCATTCTTTGGAGTTCAATACTTTCATCTGTTATTTATTTTCTGGACGCCAAGAATTTGGTTCCGAATTTAACACTGTCCATGCTTTTGGTAGCGCAACGTTGCAACGTCTCAAAAAGGCCACGTTTTATATACTACGTTTCGAATATTTTTAACATGACGACATGTCTTGCTGCGAAAACTGCCCGATTAGGAAACGAAGAAAATTCCATTCCATTGTGAAAACATTGTTATGAAGGTCACGTGAATCCTTTGTGCTTCCTTCACCTAAAGTAGATAAAAAATTAGAATTAAAAACGTTTCCTTTCGTGTTTGGAGGAACGGCGCGAATTTAGTTGGTTTAAAGTTTTAAAATTACTTTTTTTAAATTTTTGTTGTTTTAAAATTTCTAATTTTCAGATCTTTTAGTTTTTAAAATTACTTTGTACAGCCGCGGTGTTCTTCCATGCATGTGCACATGTCGAAGGCAATTAGTCAAATCAAGCATTTCATCAAATGCCTGGGCCGGTAGTCAAATTTTGACAGTTTACGGAAGTCTGTAAATTTATGGCGAGGAGTTCATGAGTTTTCAATACTTTGGGAAGAATAATAATTCAATTCCGCAAAATCTCCTTGTTCCTTCCTTTTTAAATGCCTCTCGTACATTCAAATGCTAAAATTGTGAAAATTCTATGTTTTATGACGTGCTGAAAATTTCGAGATAAATGTGCGTTCAGGAACTAAAAATCATTTAAAATACTACTGTATGCTGCATATCGACGGTGAAACTACCAAACCACGTATCTCGTTTGCGGTGTTTAAAAATCTACGCTCGCATTTTATTTTTTTGAAGTCGACCAAATCAATATCATTCCTTGAAATTTTCACAGAATTTTCTCCGCACAAAGAGGAAAAATCACAGAAATTTTCAATACTAGACGTTAAGTAGTTTTTCATTTAAAAAATAATGTATGACAGGAAGTCTGCGACGTCGCAAACCGAGATACGCGGTTTGGTAGTTTCACCGTCGATATTTTTATAGAGAATTCTTTCTGACCAGAGCGACGAATTATTTTTTCTAAAATTAGGAAAATAATCGAAGTTTCAATCTACGTAAGAATATTTGACTGTTTGCCTAGACATTTGACAAAATGCATGATTTGACCATTTGCCTTCGACATACATACCAATTTGACAACGCCACCTGTAGTCTCGCGTGGTCCGTTCATGCGCCCCCGGATATGCCTGGGTTCGATACTTCGTGTGGTGTGAATTAACCAGTTGCCCATGTTCGATAGGGCGTACGAAGTAAATAAGCGTGTTCCTTACTTCTAGTCGCTAGAATTTCGGGTGGCAATCGCGGTTGATATCGCGTGTCGCCGATAGATCGCGCTTAATTTGAGCCCGACTTTTATCTTAATGAAATTAACAATCCGTGGGTCGACGCTCCTGTGTTGGTTTTTTTGGCTGCTTGTTCGGTTTGCGCATATTTTTGAATAAATTCCCCTCGCGGAGATGCAAATCACCTGATCGGTGCACCCGAATAGATACATCAGGATTAATTGGAGGAACGTTTTTTTCATCTTTTATTTGTCCAACCGGCAACCATGACCAACAGTGGCGAGGCGAATAGTCGATTTTCGATATTTCCCCATTTGAAGCTGTGGTAAAGAATCGAGTTTCGAGGTATTCGCTGCGAACACCCTGCTTATCGATTTTTTCCATCGGTTCAAATGGCAAATCAATCAATTTATCGCAAAGCGTGCCACGCCACTGATGACCAACAGGTTGAAGACACTATCGCGGGATTCACAATTTTCTGGTTAACGAAA